GAGGTGGGATGAAGATGAGGTGTGATGAGGTCTTTGGATTAGCTCTCCTGGCACTGGACATGATGACAGGGCTGGATGGGGAGGAGGCGGGCGGCAGCATGAACACCTGAAATCACAGCTGACTGCAGGAGAGAGGAGAACCATTTTAAAGTTTGACTGCAGCACGATGATTGGCTGCTGGAGATTGAGCTGAAATGTAATTGGTTAAAAGATAAATGCAGATCATGTGATCAGGCCCTCTTAGTTTACAGAACAATGGAAAATACATGTCTTGTTTTTTTGACAGAAAGCGGAGGATGAGAGAAAATACATATTTATTGAGCCATCTGCTGCATATCACCTGATAATAGTAATTAAGTGAAACATTTGTATATTTCAAGGATTTGACATATGGATAGAAATTCATCAAATCACAAAAAAAGCTTTTGCTTTATTTACCGATAAAAATATACACAAGGGAAAACGGGCTCAGTTGGTCGTTCTTCCGATTATTCCTCAAGGATTCTGGTCTTGGAGTTGGCATGAAACAATGACCTTGTGAATTGTCCTTGTTCCCAACAGACTTTTTCCACCGTAGGAACTAATAAAAGATGTTGTGCATAAATTGCCAACAGTTTGTGCTTATTTTAGGAATTTATGGAGCTCACTCAAAACATCATACTTTAAATCATAACATCATCAGTTTTGAAAAAAAAAAAAAATCAATTAGTGGTTGCTACAAGCCATTCCAGGCAAACGTCTGACATTGTGCTAAATGCGAGTACAACTAACCAAAAAACTGTAACCATTAGTTTTATAGTTTTATTACTGCATCCAGATCGTCCAGGGCAAACAAATCTTACTCCTTAAAACAAAGTAAGAATAAAAGCCAATAGTGTTTGGTAAGAGGAAATGAAAGGGACATGGAACTAGGGGAACCAGAATCTGTCAACATGAAGATAAAACATGCATAATTGCAATGTGCTTAATAGAACAAACTGGATCATTATGGCACGCAGAATTACATGTTGTGTTCAGGACCAGCAGGGTCTGTAGGTTTATTTGTATCTCATGTTAACAAAAGAGTAAAAGAACATCTCCTACAGTCAAGAAAGAAGTCAGTATCAGAGCCCAACAATAAACCTAACTCTTCATTTGATCTTAATCTTGTGACAGTCTTTGAATTAGCTGGAGCCAGTAAACAGTGTTTTGGAAGCTTTGGGAATAGCAGTAGAATAGTCAGATCTGATTGAAATGATAACGTGGTTCAGATATGTCAAAAAAAGCCCCCTTAATTCCTGTTTTTAGATTTGATCACAGTTTATAGATAATCAAACTTGGTCTTAAGGCCAAGTCATAGAATTGTAATATTATCTTTAGCTTTTCTTTTCATCCAATTATCAATAGTGGATTTGCGGGTTGTAATCACGTCAGTAGGGTCTTTGATTTTAGAAATGCTGAGATCATAATTATTCATTATGAATGTACAATAGACTGTTATTAGCTGTCATAATTCACAGTAGAGAGAAAAAGGGTGGACCAAGACCACTACTCAGCACTGCCCCACAAAGGTTGTGATCTCTGACACATTGTATCATAGCTAAGGTTGTTAGGTTCCTGCAGTCTAAGAAATGGTTAGAGATCACCTTTCATTGTTGTTCCAGAGCATGACCATGAAACTGGAGCTAATCCACACTGATCCACATTTGGGAAGATAATGCTTCAAGGTCTTGATGCTATGGACACATATCTAAGGTTTTACAACCGTATCAAACAAGTGAATAATAGGAATTCACAAATGAGCAGAAGCTAATAAGCCATAACTCATTTTGGACATTAGAACGTCAGGACCTTGTGTGCCTTCCTTTCTTCTTTCTATATTCATGCCAAATGTATCATTATCATTCTCTTAAAGGTCCCCTATCATACTGTTTTTCATCAATATATTACAGGTCTCAGATATATACAAAACATGTCTCTGAAGTGTTTGGCTCCAAACACCAAACAGATCATTGCAGCATCCCATAATCCCCTCTGTTTCAGCCCTGTTTCAAAAGTGCTGATTCTCTGTCTGTTACTTTAGATGAAAATAAGGAGCCACTCCCCACGCCCCTCTGATACCTTGGTTGGTGATTGGCTAATGGTTACACAAGCCAAAACATCGTTATGACATCATAAAGTGGCCAAAATCTGATCAGCTCATTTTCAGACAGGTTTTTATAGAAATGGATCAGGACAAAAAGAGAGAGAATCTTTGTTCCTGAAACTCTCAGAGTCTCTTTACACAGAGGGGACACATGTTGATGTAGAAGAGACATGAAGAAGAGGGGACACATGTTGATGTAGAAGAGACATGAAGAAGAGGGGACACATGTTGATGTAGAAGAGACATGAAGAAGAGGGGACACATGTTGATGTAGAAGAGACATGAAGAAGAGGGGACACATGTTGATGTAGAAGAGACATGAAGAAGAGGGGACACATGTTGATGTAGAAGAGACATGAAGAAGAGGAGGACACATGTTGATGTAGAAGAGACATGAAGAAGAGGGGACACATGTTGATGTAGAAGAGACATGAAGAAGAGGGGACACATGTGATGTAGAAGAGACATGAAGAAGAGGGGACACATGTTGATGTAGAAGAGGACATGGAGAAGAGGGGGACACATGTTGATGTAGAAGAGACATGAAGAAGAGGGGACACATGGTGATGTAGAAGAGACATGAAGAAGAGGGGACACATGTTGATGTAGAAGAGAAATGAAGAAGAGGGGACACATGTGATGTAGAAGAGCAACATGAAGAAGAGGGGACACATGTTGATGTAGAAGAGACATGAAGAAGAGGGGACACATGTTGATGTAGAAGAGACATGAAGAAGAGGGGACACATGTTGATGTAGAAGAGACATGAAGAAGAGGGGACACATGTTGATGTAGAAGAGAAATGAAGAAGAGGGGACACATGTTGATGTAGAAGAGACATGAAGAAGAGGGGACACATGTGATGTAGAAGAGACATGAAGAAGAGGGGACACATGTTGATGTAGAAGAGACATGAAGAAGAGGGGACACATGTTGATGTAGAAGAAACATGAAGAAGAGGGGGACACATGTGATGTAGAGAGACGGACATGAAGAAGAGGGGACACATGTTGATGTAGAAGAGACATTGAAGAAGAGGGGACACATGTGACTGTAGAAGAGACATGAAGAAGAGGGGACACATGTTGATTGTAGAAGAGACATGAAGAAGAGGGGACACATGTTGATGTAGAAGAGACATGAAGAAGAGGGGACACACATGTTGATGTAGAAGAGGACATGAAGAAGAGGGGACACATGTTGATGTAGAAGAGACATGAAGAAGAGGGGACACATGTTGATGTAGAAGAGACATGAAAAGAGGGACAACATGCTTGATGTTGTAGAAGAGACATGAAGAAGAGGGGACACATGTTGATGTAGAAGAGACATGAAGAAGAGGGGACACATGTTGATGTAGAAAGAGACATGAAGAAGAGGGACACATGTTGATGTAGAAGAGACATGAAGAAGAGGGGACACATGTTGATGTAAGAAGAGGACATGAAGAAGAGGGGACACATGTTGATGTAGAAGAGACATGAAGAAGAGGGGACACATGTTGATGTAGAAAGACATGAAGAAGAGGGGACACATGTTGATGTAGAAGAGACATGAAGAAGAGGGGACACATGTTGATGTAGAAGAGACATGAAGAAGAGGGGACACATGTTGATGTAGAAGAGACATGAAGAAGAGGGGACACATGTTGATGTAGAAGAGAACATGAAGAAGAGGGGACACATGTTGATGTAGAAGAGACATGAAGAAGAGGGGACACATGTTGATGTAGAAGAGACATGAAGAAGAGGGGACACATGTTGATGTAGAAGAGACATGAAGAAGAGGGGACACATGTTGATGTAGAAGAGACATGAAGAAGAGGGGACACATGTTGATGTAGAAGAGACATGAGAAGAGGGACACATGGTGATGTAGAAGAGACATGAAGAAGAGGGGACACATGTTGATGTAGAAGAGAAATGAAGAAGAGGGGACACATGTTGATGTAGAAGAGACATGAAGAAGAGGGGACACATGTTGATGTAGAAGAAACATGAAGAAGAGGGGACACATGCTGATGTAGAAGAGACATGAAGAAGAGGGGACACATGTTGATGTAGAAGAGACATGAAGAAGAGGGGACACATGTTGATGAAGAAGAGACATGAAGAAGAGGGGACACATGTTGATGTAGAAGAGACATGAAGAAGAGGGGACACATGTTGATGTAGAAGAGACATGAAGAAGAGGGGACAACATGTTGATGTAGAAGAGACATGAAGAAGAGGGGACACATGTTGATGTAGAAGAGACATGAAGAAGAGGGGACACATGTTGATGTAGAAGAGACATGAAGAAGATGGGACACATGTTGATGTAGAAGAGACATGAAGAAGAGGGGACACATGTTGATGTAGAAGAGACATGAAGAAGAGGGGACACATGTTGATGTAGAAGAGACATGAAGAAGAGGGGACACATGTTGATGTAGAAGAGACATGAAGAAGAGGGGACACATGTTGATGTAGAAGAGACATGAACAAGTCGATCTTGCATAATAGGTGACCTTTAATGAATGTGAAATTAGTGAAACTTCCTGTTTCCATATTTCAAGCCAATGACACATGTCTGATAATCGGATCACTGGGCTCCTAGCTTATATAGTATTGATCTCCAGGGTAGCTGTGCAAGGGTTTTTAAACGTTTTGGTAACAGTGAAGATTAAGGCCAGAATCCTTTGTTCTTTGAACCTGTCACACATAGAAAATGGCTTTTCTTATTCTCGGGTTTCATATGACATCTCAATTCCTAATTGCCAGTTTTTTGTGGCAGTCTTTTGCTTCTTGGCCCTCAGGTTGAATACCACAAGTAGAAAGCATCTGGTTCAGAAAGTCTTGCCAACAGTAACAAAAAAAGAAAAAGACAAAACGTCTTAGTCAGTGTTAGCTTGATCTGTACCCAGCTGCTCTCCGACCATTTGTTCCAGTCTTTGCCTATCTGACTCCCATTCTTCCAGGAAGGCATAGTTTAGTTCGGGCATTGCACCGGTCAGGCCCAGAGAGCTGACGGACCCTGTCAAGGACCCCCGGCCCTCATAGGCGTACGTCTGTAGCGAGTCATAAGGTGGACCCCGTGTGTCTGCGTCTGCCTGGACAACCTTCTGCTCCAGGATCTGCTGAATGATGTCCTGACCCTGCAGCAGAAGGGAGGGTGCCGATTGGCTGATCTCTCGAGGAACGCAGTCAAGGACAAACCAGGACGTTTCTGGCCCTGCTTTGTAGTTCCCATAATCCACCTCCTGAGCTGTCCCCCTCCTCAGCACCATGACCCCGTCCTCGTCATACTCCATCTCGTCCTCCTCCAGCTCGTCCTCCTCCAGCTCGTCCTCTTCGTACGGGCTTGGTCTGTAGCCATGGTAACTGTGGAACTTCCTCCGGGTCTCTGAGTTTTTGGGATTTCGAAGTGCGGCAATGTCAAAGGCCTCCGTGTCTTCCTCTCCGCCTCCCTCGTCGTCATAGGTCACCACGTTTTCTCTGATGTCCTCTTCGGAAAGAATTAAGGGCTCTTTACTCGCTTTCTTATTTCGGAGCTGGGTGAATAGCATCACTATGGCTGGAGGGAACACAAGAAAGGGGAAAGACACGTAAATACAAATCAACAAAATCCTTTTTACCAAAACGTGAATGATTGGATAATAAACATTGACTGATTGATTGATTGGATGGTTGCATCAGATTCTTGTAAAAACGTAAGATGATTTGTGTCTAAGAAATAAAAAAGCTTTTATCCTTAGTTACTAAAACGTCATGTTATATTTATTGACAAAGACTGATTGAGAAACTTCTCAGAAAAACAGTTTCTGACGTTTAAATGCATCATGCACTGTGATTGAATCAAGGAGACATCCAACAGAACGGGACAAGACCTATCCAACTTCGGTGAACGAAAGGAAGCTACACCAATCTTCGTTAAAGCAAGGAAGTGCATTCTTGAACTCTGGGATTATAACCAAAGTATCAACAACATCTTTAAGTTGTTTATCTTTAGGAACTGTCCTGTTATAGTTTGGAACCAGTTGATAGGGTAAGAACACCAACGTAAACAGACTGGTACCTGTCGTCGACTTTTTACTTCTTATTGTACTAGTAACACTTGTTATTAACACAGTTTGGAAAAATCCAATGAATCCGTGATCTGATTGCCGGACAATCAAAGAAGGCACTAGTCTAGTATTCTGTCACTCGCAATCTACTGGTACGAAAAACTTCTGGTAAGAATCATGAAGTTGTGTATATGCCAATGAATGGTTTAAAATCCACACAACAGCAACACTTTTTCCCAATGTCTTTTTTCTATGCAATAGGAATAATTTACAAAATATATATTATATACAAAATTCTACACATAAAATCAGCACAACTTCCACTTCCAAGCATGTGAGATGTACAAGACAAGGATAGACCACATTTCCCCCCACATACTTACTTATTAATATGACGATACAAAGCATAATAGCCACAAAAGCCCCGGTGCTGAGACCAGCTGAGGACAGGAAGGCCTCGGCCTGACAGACGCTGTTGTGGCGCCCCCTGGTGTTCCTCTGACACACACACACCCTCAGGGAGAGCGTGGCAGTGCTGCTGAGAGGGGGCTCCCCCCCATCAGCCACCACCAGCACCAGGCTGAAGACCTCCTGGTCCCGGTCCTGACTGAAGCCCTCCCGCCGCTGAGAGATTATACTGGCAGTGTGGTCTGGAGAGGACAGACAAGGGAAGAAGGAGACACATCCGCACTTTAATAAAGTACAGTAACCTGTCCCAGTCACCTGACTCTCTTTCCACCCCCTGCAGCCCCTTTGCTTCAATGCCAGGCCCTTTAACCCTGTCAGATCTGCTTTGTGTCATTGCTTTGGAGCTTCTATCATCTGCTGAACCTACCACCTACTTTTACTGCCTACCTGTCTGCACTTTCCCATGCACTGTTCCTACTATCCTGTGGAATCAATAGTACATTGACAAGGTATAAGAATGAGTCATACATGACATTGGATGTTACTTGTTAGACGCTTTTATCCAAAGCGACTTACATACTCAATACTGTGGGCAATCCCCACAGGAGCAATTTGGGGTGAAGTGTCTCAGGGACACAACGACATGCTGACTGCAGTGGGGTTTGAACCTGTGCTCCCCTGATCCCAACACCAACGCACTAGTCCACTGCGTCCACTGCGCCACACGCCTCCCATTGTCATCAAACGACAATATGGTCCAATAACTTCAACAAAAGCTGCATTGTCTTTATATGTTTAAGCTTTTTAATGTATGTTTTTTGTGGTTCAAGGTTCAAGGTTCAAGGTTCTTTATTGTCAATCTGGCCACATTTAACTATATTTTGGTCTCCACCAACTCCCAAAGATCCACCTGTTTCTTTAGTTACCTAATGCTCCACCGTTCATCATCTAGTATGGAACTATGTCTGTCTGCGGCTTGCAGCTGGACAGCTACATTAGGTTCATCTGAGCCTTTGGAAAATAAATAAGAATTGGGTGTCCTTTTGAATTGGTTCATCAATTTGAGCGAACCCTTTTACATTACAGTCTTTTCTGCTAATGATGAATACTAATTGTTGAGACTCTTACAGTGGGGTGTTATCTTTGATTTCAGAAATACGGAGATCATACTTATCCATTATGAATATTAGGTTTTACGTGAAGTTTCTTTGAAATCACATAGTCATTTATTAATTTAACTATAAACATTTTTTGCAAACTTAAGCATGCTAAATTAAACAATATGTCTGTAAAAGCATGTCATAATTGGTCTTTTAATCTTTATTATTATTTTTCCCATTTTTCTTACATTGTTTTATGTGTATGATTGTTTTAATATTTTATTGTTTTTAATCTTTTTGTCTAACTTTGTGGGTAATCTGTTGTGAAATTGTGTATTATTATGTATTCAATTTGAACAGCCTATTTCACCTCCTTGTATTCGTTATACAGTATATATTACATATATTAAAATATATGTTAAAGCACGTTGAGCTGCACCCTGTGTATGAAAAGTGCTATAAATAAAGCTTTATTTTGACTCCCTAGGTGACCTAAGTGGTTCTACATTGTAGCTGCAGCCCTCTCTGATATTCAGGCATCGACTCTGGTTATATTGACCAACATAGTTAGCAAACACATGGAGGCAGTGTCTGAGAGAAGCTGACAGAGAAGCAGCTGATGAATATGTATGAGGAGGCATCTCCACATCAGTGAGAGTCCAACCTTCCCTGGGGATCTCTGAGCCACGATGAAGCACGTCAGCAGTGGCATGTGCATATATGTGTGGATTTGGTAATGTGTTCAGGGTATGCCAACAGGACTAGGCACGGCACAGAAGGATATCTTCATTTACATAGTGTGTTTCCTGTTGACATGCATGAGGCCTCTGGGTGTGCACACAACACAAATCCCAACACACGTAAACCGGCAACGTTACTCTCATCACCTGCGGAGGGAGGTAAACAGGAGTCAAGGATCGTTAAGTCATTACGCAACACAGCGTTGCACGACAGAATGCAGAGTGGTGCAGGGATGGCGTGCTTTTATAGGCCCAACAAAGAGCAATGGGATTTTTCCATTGGATTTCAGAATATTGCAGAAAATAGGCTTCCCACACGTTAATTGCATGTTTTGTTCAGCAGTATAATCTCAACATATTAACACCACTTTTAGGATTTTTGAAACATAAATGTAATAACCAGAAGCAAACGTTGGCCTGACCCTTGAGATCAGAAGTACCCGTATCTGGGCCCATAGGGTGCGCACTTGCATTTTGCTCTAGCCCCGCCTCCAATCTGAAGCGTCACAGCTGATCTTGACTCAGTTAAATGAAAGGAGAGGGAACATAACTCTGGATTCGGATTTTAGCGCTTTTTAAAAACGTTTCGACCCTAATGACTATAAAAGTGTTCATACTGGGTAGTTGATTTAGTTTTAAGAAAATGTTTGATTAAAGACTATTTCCCAATGAATATCAATGGGAAAGAGTATGTTTGGGCCTATTGACGACACAGATGTTGAAGTACCCATTGGGCTACTACGAAAATTAGTTTGGCGCACTTCCTGGGGGCTTAGATATGTGTGTTCCCTATCACGTACAATGTGTTGGAGCACTAGCCATTAGAAGCGCAAGTGTTGGAGGAGTTTCAGGCAGGGGGGAGGGTGTGTGGGAGTGAGAACTCCTTTGCACACTATTAACATGGACAAAAACCTATATAACACACTACAGGAAAGGGAAAAACCCCCAAAACATTATAGGGCCCCTTTAAATATGTTTTAAGCTAAATTCTATGTTTTAGTATATACATATATTCCAATATGTTCAAACATTAGACTTTATGTATACAGGGTATATGTAGGAATCCTGAAGTCAAATGTAATACCTTTTAAGACCTTTTTTAAGACCCTTTCCATACATTTTAAGACCTCATCGCCACTTGGAGTTTTAACCGGTTACATTGGCGACACACTTTACCTCACATTGACTATATACAGTATTGATTGTCCTCCTTATCTTCCAACCATTTGGACGCAAACTTGCATTTCCCCATAACGATGTTGTTTAACAACCGGCGTAAACTGACCTTTGCGCGCTATCAAGCAGTGAGCGTGCGATGTCCTGTTCAGATGACGTCAAATCCAACGGGATGCCATAAATAAACTACACAGAATCACACTACACACCTACGCAATGATTACATTCAGGCAAACTGTAGAATACAACCTCTTTGGACAATTTATATACTTATTGAAAACAAGCTACAACATGTAATACCTTGGAAAATGCCGTTTAATACTTTTTAATAGCCTTAATTTTCGCTAAATTGATTTATCAACTTTTAATACTTTTGAAGACCCCGCGGACACCCTGATATATTTTGGAATAAGACTGTCCTTTTCATTTTAAGAATAATTAAAGTAGGTTACATATCTCTCCTCATGTTGGATCATTTTCACACACCACATAGACGTGCAGAGCACCCCATATAGATTCAGATAAGAAATAAGGCTGGCCCAGTGTTCTCTGCCATGTAATGGCGCATTTCCATTGCAGGGCCTCGCTCAGCTTAGTACGGTATAGTTAGGCCTTGTTAGGCTTTGTTAGGCCAGGCTCACTTTATGCTGCGTTTCCATTACAGTTTAGTAGCTGGGGCAGTAACTATAGTAACGCAATGTAGGCGGAGCCGTGACGTCATCTTCAATGCGAACCACAGAAAAACAACATCAGCCGTTAGCTGTTAGCACTCAAGCTCACAGCTCCTCATATCTGTTCAGAAACTAGACAAAAGTTAAACAAGTACAAACCACAGACTGTCTGTGTCATGGCGAGTACAGTCGCTGCTTTATTTATGTCTGTATAGGCCGTTGTTGTGAGTGTGGACGGTCGGAGCATATACTGCGTTAGCTTAGCCGATCTCCATTCAGAAAACACGCATTTTAAAAGGTTTTTCGCCTGCCGTCTGTCTGCAGACTTGACAAAGCATTAATTCATGGTTTTTACTAACCGGTATCAGTATGTTGTTACTTCGGCATCATTTTGAAACGTGTATTACAATTAAATCACGGTCAAATATGTTCATCTTGTTGTAGTTGTAGCCCCCTTGCCAGCGATTCTCTCTAGTTTAGCATACTCAGCCCGACTCAGCCTGGTTGTTGGGCTGCTAAGAACCTCGATTTTATGGGGCCAGAAAAACTGTGAAATAGTACCCGCTAGCCGGAACTACACTAAGTGGAAACGCAACCAGAAACGGGCCGTGCACGGCACGGCACGCTTAAACCGCGCTGTAGTGGAAATGCGCCATTAGAGAGAGACACTGATCCTCACTGTATCTAGTATTGTGTATCATATATATATATATATATATATATATATATATCATGACACGTCACAAAGCGCTGATAATGATTTACCAATAAAATGTTAAATGACAGAGTAATCATCTGTTTCTAAAAATAAGAAATGGTCCTGGACACATTCACTGAGTACTTTGGACCCTGAAGGCCTGAATGAGAAATATGAAAGGAACCTTTTTTGTAACTTTACACTAATTATTATTTTGTCTTTGTTGTGTCCTTCATATTCTTGTTATGTTTGATTTACATATATTTCCCTTTTTGTGTTACATTTTCTGCCACAGTTCAATCGGCCTCTGGGGTCATGGTCTTTGAGAATCACTGGACTATAGACAGTGCATTTATATTTATTTTGTACCAATTTATAATATAATAGATTTAGCCACCCAGCATTATATACATGTATGGTAATTTAAAGGAACTTTACCAATTGCAGCATTATGTCTGTAGTATACCCTTGTGTGTTATATTTGTTGTCATGTTTAACGAATGATGTGTTCAGTATTTGTACCTCCATTGTCCTTCACAGTAAAATCTGGGTTGGTTGGAATCCCAGCAGGAAAGTAGAAGGAAAACTTTCCATTTGCAAAGTTGTCCAGATCTGCAGCTCGGAGGGTCTGAATCAGCTGATGGAGAACAACAGAAACAGAAGTGTGGGTCAGAGAAACGTACACAAGTTGAGAAACAAAAAGAAAAGTATGAAAAGTCATACAATGAATCAGGGGCGCCACCAGGGATTTTGGGCCCCATGAAAAGATAATCACATTGGTTACTTAAACATTTTTTTCTTAATGTTCTAAAATAGTTTGGGCCCCTGTCAGTCACGGGCCCTTAGAATCGTCCTAACTTTTCACCCCCTTACGGCGCCCCTGCATTGAATACTCGATTACTTGATTGACCAGTTTGATCATTCAAGGTGCACCGTGCAGCCATTATTATGTTCGTGGGGGTGATGGCACGCCTCTTAATTATTTTAAAACACAGGCACAGGCTTAGTGGATTCAATCTAGAAGAGCCCAAGTTTAGAGTTATATATGAATATATTTTACATTATATTACTTTTCTACAATTTCTTATAAAATGGGGGTCATTTCAAATAGCTTCTGTGACAGGAACTACTGTAGTATTGTCCTTTAGACAGGTCATCACAAAATCTGATTCATATTATATATATTTTTACAAGTGAGGTATGGCCTATATTGCTAATAACTGATGTTAGGAACTGTGAGCCAGGTAAACCATCGGCCAGTTAATCCTCCTTACTTTAAAATCTGTTAAAATAAAAGTTAACCTTTGCAGAAAACAAGGTATAAAAAAGAAAAACGATTTATTTTTATTTTCTATAATCTTAAGAAAAGTGAATATTAACTTTTTTGCTTCCCCCCCTCTCTTTTCTCCATGTTATGGCTATATTGCGTATTCAACAATACACTTTTTTGCTATTTGTCTCATTCAAGGTAGAAAGTGGCTTCCGACTCAAACTGAACATTTGGTGTATTTTAGGAGTTATGCATGACCGATAATTTGGTAAATTAACATTTTTCAAATCGCAAATACTCCCTGTAGTACTCCTAAATACCCCTAGGGGTCCTAGTACTCCTGTTTGAGAAACACAATTCTTACCTATTGAAAGCAAGAGGAAACTCCAAGTGTTGGAGTGTATTTTAAGCCCTCAGGGTTTGATCTGCCATTGTCTCCATGATGTTAACACAGCCCCACAACTTCATTTTGAAATCAATAGTTTAAATATACACACAATATACAACTCAATACATGAATGAGTCCTGTCAGAGTGTTTGGGTCAATTTGTTGCATTTCCAGCAAGATCAAAAATATTCTTCGCTTGATTTTAACTGTGCTGGTGATCAGGCTTGCGAAGTAACAGATTACATGTTACAGTATTAAGTAATCAGGATACAAAAAAAGGTAACTGTATTCCCTTACAGTCAGGGCCGGCCCTTGGCATAGGCAGTTTAGGCGAATGCTAAGGGCGCATCAAACTATGGGGGGGCGCCGACATTTTTTTTCCCATAACAACACAATTTCTCGATTTTGGATCAACAAAGTACATCTTATTATCTTATACTAACAGAACTACGCCTATATTGCGTACATATACCCCCCCCCCCCCCAAATCAAGTTGAACTGCCCCAGCCCCAGTAAAAACCAGAGGTTTATGTGAAATAGTTCTTTTTTTGAAATAATGGTTTTAGTGTGCAATTATAGGTTTTAATTTTGTATTTGTGTTAATTTAAAATAAATCAAACTCTCAAAAAACGTATACAGCTTTTATTAACATTGGAATTTACTGTGTAAGCGGCCGCGGGGGGGGGGGGCTCTGATAACCTCAGCTCAGTGAGGTAAAGGCACATCTTTATATGATCATTGTAGTTATAAAAAAATAAGAGAATAGATTTTCATCTATTCTCTTATAGTATAAAATACTATATGACAGTAAAACAAGTTGTTATTAATAAACAAGAATACAGTTTAAAAGGGGAGTGATTAGTAAAATATCCATAAATAAAAAGAAAATCTGTTTTCAGTTCTGTTTCATATCGTGTTGAGAGATGTATCCATAGATCTCTAATGTTGCTCTCAAAGTGCACCAGATTGATGCTTTTAACTTCAATATTTAAAAAAAAAAATCTTCCCGGGGGAGCATGCCCCCGGACGCCCCTAGAGGAGGTTAGCCCCCCCCCCCACTTAAATCATGTCCACATGGATAGGATACTAAATACAGTTGCACACATCTTGTGTCCATATCTTTCTGTTTTGGTGGTCATGCCACAACCGTGCACGTAAATGCATGCGCGAGTCATAGTGAGTGTCTGCATTTGGGGGGGGGGGCGCCAGCTAAAATCTTGCCTAGGGGAGCAAATTGGTCAGGGCCGGCCCTGCTTACAGTAGCATTAGTATCATAAATGGGGCGAAGCCTGCGAGCTAGTTCAGGCAGTCAACTCGAGCACCAATCAGTGTTGGGCAAGTTACTTCCAAAATGTAATACATTACATATTACTGTCTTTTTTAAGTAATAAGTTACATTACAATATTACTGTCTCTGAAATGTAATGAGTTACACTACTTTTATATTACTTTTGAGTTACTTTCACCAAAATAACCGCAAAATAATGGCTAGGTATTTTAAATGCTAAAATGTAGTTTAGTGCAGCAACTGTGTAGGCCCTTAATTTAATCGTTTATTTCGCAGGGACAATGCACTGTAATGAACACTTAAAACAGGGGTGGGGAACCTTTTTCCTCTCAAGGGCCATTTCAATTTTTACAACATCCTCCGAGGGCCGTACAAATTATTGGCCTCTGCTTAAAAATACTAAAATCACAGCATTCATTTGGCCTTTCTTTCATGCTGTGCAAAGAAAAAGCAACCTCTTAATCCAGATATCTTACCATGACTCGCGTATGCATGCACGTGCACAGTTGTTAAAAGCATCAATCTGGTGCACTTTGAGAGCAACATTAGGAGATCTATGGATACATCTCTCAACACGATGTGAAACAGAACTGAAAACAGATTTTCTTTTTATTTATGGATATTTTACTAATCACTCCCCTTTTAAACTGTATTCTTGTTTATTAATAACAACTTTTTTTCACTGTCATATAGTATTTTATACCAGTTTTTACTTTATTCTCCTGCTTTTTTTATAACTATAATGATCATATAAAGATGTGCCTTTACCTCACTGGTTGTAGAAAAAGCTTCTTATATTCGTTAGCATAGTTAGCTAACCAGATGCTAATAACAACCGGCCCACCGGGAAAACTCCCGGTATTCCCAATGGCCAGTCCGCCCCTGCTTACAACTAAAGACACAGCCACGCAAAAACTGCGCCATGTGTACAGTACGGCTCCTTATGGGTACTGCAATTTTTGAAGCACCCGAGCTGCGTTCCAATGCTCTCCGTCAGCACTACACCCCTTTCAGACGAGACATATACCACGTGATGACACGTAAAGGCCCGGACACACCAGCCCAATTTTGGGAGTCAGAGGCCGTCAGAGGCCGTCAGAGGCCGTCAGAGGCAGTCGGGGCATTCGCGGCGCCCTACTCAGGTTTGTGTGTCCCGCACCGTCGTCTCTTTACGGCACCTTTTCACACCTCCCGACGCCTCCCGACGCCGATTCAACATGTTGAATCGGCCGCGGGAGGTCAGAGAAAGTCGGCCCAAGCAATCACTCTGATTGGCTGTTCACACTACCGCTGCCTGCTGGTAAGGACAGTTATTGCCACTCGTCGACTGAAGTATTTGCGGTGTGTTTGTAGGCGGGCGGCGTAGCGGGCGACGTAGACGACGCAGCCGACGAAGCTGACGTAAAAGTCGGGACGCCTTCGGTACGCGTTCTTTGGTCTCAGGTGGGTGTGTAGCGGCCTTTAGGCTCGTGTTGTGTTCAAGGGCATAGAAACAGGCACTCGCTTTTTTCATTATTTTGCGGGCTAGATTTCTTTAAAAAAATGTTTTGCGTGTGTATAAATTACCTCGAGGGCCGTATACAATGGTCTCGCGGGCGGTATATGGCCCGGGGGCCGGAGGTTCCCCACCCCTGACTTAAAACATTAAAATGTGTCAAGCGTAACAGTGCCAGATTTAGCTTTCAGCTAATTTCCATCTGCAGTGCCTCACATAAAAACATTTAAGAAATTTACATTTTACAAACATTGTAAAAACAAAATACATGTTATGCAAAAAGTGCAAGAGAGCAAGAGCAGCATACACAAGTATTTATGACATGGTAATACAATATAGCAGCAACGACATGTAAAGTGCAAGAGAGGATACAAGTGCTACCTAAAGTGCAAGAGGAGATACCCCTGTGTTAATGTGCATTTAGCGGTGATTGCACGTCTGTTTGTTTCTCAACCATTCTTTGAGTTGACCTTTAAAACTATTGAGAGTGGAACAATCCCGTGTCTCAGTTGTTCCAGAAAGAGCTGCCTTTAATGGAGAGGACATTTTGTCCAAAAGTGGTCCGTCTATGGTGGACTTCACAGTCTCCTCTGGTTTCTGACCTAGTGCAGCGTCCAGTGTGTTTTCTGTGGATGAATTCCCCTAAGGGAGGGAGGGCCAGTCCATGTAAACATTTATAAATAAAACACATACTTTTAAAAGACTTAAAATGGTCAAAACCCAAGAAATTGTGTTTTTCAAGGATGGTACAGTGGTGGAATGAATGTGGCTTTCTGTCAAACACCTTGATATCTCTCTTGTACAGCTGTTCTATCGGTTTAAGGCACAAGCAAACGACCAGTTTGTAAAACAGTATTCAATGTGGGATAGAAGAATCATACAGTGGAGGTATGACTTTGCAGCATTGACAGTTAAGAAAGGTCTACTAACAACTTTTATTACAAGGCTTAGTTGAATACTCGATTCTGATTGGTCAATTCCGTTGCTAAGGAGGATCAAGAAAGAGAAAGCAAAAGAGGGTAAAAGACGGAGTGCTGGACGTCAGATAAATGAACAGAAGAAGACAGATAAGAAGTAAACACGAACAGGAACACCAGACCCGGCGCCAGAACAAATCTACAGAGAGGGCATATGATTTTCATGGGAGGGCACACAAAACCGTCATGTGCCACGGCCAGTAGTGGCGCCAGAGATTT